AAAATAAAAGAAAATAAAAATTTTTTTTCTTAATTTAATTTTAATTAATTATTTAATAAAAAATAATTAATTTTTCGATTATATTTGAAAATAAAAAAAATATTTGATTGATAAAAATATTAATTTTCTTTAGATGATTAGAAAGAAGTAATTATATATTAATACTACATTTACATTAGAATTTATTTATATATATTATTTTATATTATATATTTTATTATATATTTTAATTAGTATATATTATATTATATTATATATTTTATATTATATATTATTTATTTTAGTTAGTTTATTAGAATTAATTATTACTCATAAAAAGATAAGAAAAAATTCGGCAATGTTTTAATTCTTATCTTAACTTTCACAATTAAATTTATAGCTTCAGTTTCAATAATTAACTTATTAGAAAGAAACTTATTATATTATACGTATTATTGTGCATTATAATTATTTTATTATATCATTGCCATGAAAATATATATTACATAAAACAAATATTTCATAAAATAAAAGAATGTAAATTAGTAACTTCTAGGAATTATAATGTCCATACGAAAATGAGATCACAAACCATAATGAAAATAATTTTAGTAATAATATTTCAATTCTGAATTCTTTGACTATAATTTAGTTCAGATTTAGACTAAATTATACAACTTCCTTGCCATTGGTTTACGACTCTTACCATTAATATGACGATTCCCCCACTATTAATCATGCTTTGCCTTATGTTGAATATACATATACAATTATATAAATTTCTAACCTTATGTTATATTTACATTTCAAGAAGTATTATTTAAAATCTAGACAATAAAAATATTTGATCATATTTGAAGTGATCTTAATTTTACAATAGATCAATTCTTGTGACATGTTGAATATTTTGTAGACATTTTAAGTTCATTCATATGAACTAATAATAATTAAACTATTATAATACAAACTATACTATAATATAAAAAATTATATATATAAATAGAATTATTTTTTTATTATAATTAAGAATCAGTATATTTCTCCATGTATTTGTCACATATCATTGTATATATAAACAATTATACATATAAAGTGAATTAATTTAAGGAAAATTGAAAAAAAGAGTATCTAAATATTTAAAAAAAACATAAAAGTATTTTGTATTATTGAATTAGTATTGCAGTAACTAATTTTTTATAACAATAACATTATTTTTATAACGCTATTTGTTTTTTAATTCTATTGACATGTATTTCTTATAATGTAGAAAATATAATGTAAAATAATTTAATATTTATGCTTATGCCTATATTTGCGTGGTGATGGAGAAGGAGGACTATTAGCTCTATGTTTTGAAGTACGTGGTGGAGGTGGTGGTGACAATGATGGTGATCTACCCCTTCTTTTTCTGTCATTTCGTTCATTAGTAGGCGATCTACGAGATACTCTGGATGAAAAGGAAGGCGAAGGTGTTCGTCGAATACGTGGTGGTGATGGTGTCACTGGTACCCGTTTTTTATATGGTGATCGTGATCTACGTTTACCTCGCGGTGATCTACTACGTGATCTGAAATTTATTTTGTAAATATATTATAATAAATATTTTTAATAAATATTTTTTGTAATATTTAAATTTATAAACTAACATTTTATAATAATCTATTAATTTTTTTAATTATTTTACAATCTATTGATTTATAAACTGATTGCTATTTATAATTATTTGAATTAATTCTGATAATTTCATAAAAATAATATTTTAAATAAATACATGTTAATGTTAATAATTAACATTAATAATATAGACTATTTTTTTCATTATTTTAATTATTTTATATTTTTTTAAATAACAATATATGTTTAATTTTATATTTTTATAATATATAATATAATAAATTAAAATAATATAATGAAACAAATTTAATGACAATATAAATATGACATATTATATTATTATATGTAATTTTAAAGTTATATAATTTGTATCTGAAATATTATTTAAAAAT